CCTCATACGTGATATATATATATATATATATATATATATATATGTTGATTCCATTCCGGACTGCATCAGAAACATTGGCTGTCCCATTACAAACTAACGTACTCGAACTTCTCACCCGCATCCGTTCCTATTTTCCCCCGATTACTGACAACTGTTCATTGTTCCATGATCGACGCACCACCGCACACGTTCCTATTNCATAGATGACTTGTCCGCATGTCTGACTTGTTACTACACACACACACACTCTCACACACAAGGAGACCATGCAATCTCGCACAACCCTCTGATTCATGTTTTACGGACGCACGAACGTGAGCCACCATCTCACTGTGGTTCTTGACCTTGAAATCGCGACATTCGATCGGCCTCGATTGGTCACTGGTCCCTCATATGAATGTGCACGAACCTTGCCCGACTCATTGTTGTTATTGCCTGATATATATATATATGCCCTAGAAACACATTAACTTACTGAGGCCACTGTAATCACATACCTCTTCTCAAGTGAGGATTTATAACGAACCAAGTAGGGAATTAGTCACCAGCAGCGGATTTCGTTAAAGTGCCTTATTTCGCCATTGGTATTCAACACTGAACCAGACCAAATTCCGGAGAACGCACTAATTGGTCTCGAAAATGTTGGTATTGAATGGGCAACTGAAGAAAAGCTGTGCGATTTAGAGTGCGCAGATGAAATGGTCTCTGTTTGAATATATGGAGGACGATCAAAGCGCACTTGATAAACTTGCAACTGTCGTTACCTCATTCAGTATGTGTTTTGCATATTGAAAGGGCAAATTGCTGCTAAGACTCAGTGCCGCCTAGACCTGCTTTGAATCTCAATGAAGAGGAACTAATTATAGCGGATTGCTCGTCCTCTTTGATCCAGCGGGGCCTTATTTGGTTCACCAATCCAAGTCCCGGCATTTGGGTTATTGGTTGCCATCACTGGACAACATGTCTTCGTGACGATGGGGTCCAGTTCGTCTGCGGTTCATCACACAATGGTCATAAAAGAAATTGTGACCAACGACAGTAGTGTATCAAAAGAGATAACCACCCGCATTTCCGAAGTGCGAGCAACGCACACGAGACGGAAACACGTTTGGCGTACACGCGACGTTTCACTGAAGCTGATAGGTTGTGTATATTGCGCTAGCGTTTGTTTAGTTCTGCTTTATGGTTGTGAGACCTTGAATTTGCGAGTAGATAGCAGGTCCGAATGTTTGAAACAGTACGTATCCACAGTTAGATTATGTACTTTCTGTTGGTAAAAGAGGTTTACCTTCTTCCGCTCTACCTCAAAACAGGTCCGATCCCTATCCACCTTATATATCACCACCAACTTTGTATACATAACGAGGTTGACGGCAATCAGTGAAGTTCGCTTAACTGGTTTCACTTGGTGAAATGCCTGTTCGTAACCATGCGTCCGCTGGACGGGGTTTTCAAACACACAAACACTGCTCCGCTGCCTGGTGGATCAGACTTCAGCGGACACACGGTTCTGGTTGTGAATCCCCCGACACTATTCACCTACTATGGCTTTGAAAACCTAGCAAGGAGAAAATCATGGACCGGTTTCTTTGCTATAACCATCGCCGTATCGTCATTTGTTGGGCATAACGTCTGGACCGACAGAATAATGATACCATAAACTACTAGCGAGGATACTGACAAGCCAAAAGTAAATTACTCTATGCAACACTAACAACTTAACATTCGATATTTCATTAGGCAATAAACGTTTTTCAACCGTGGTCAGCTCCCCGAGGGAACATGAGAAAGAATGTACAAATACTCACCTTCTTCGGTAAACGTGAACGTTTTCAAGTATTCTATGCAGTCTGACAATCCAGCGAAAATGGTAAATTCACCCTGAAATGGATTCTTCCTGAAAAATATTTCAAAAACTGCCGGTTCTTCAGCTTTTCCAGCCTTCCAATAACTATACGACATTGTCAACTGGTAAAAATCTGCAACGAAAGATATGTAAAGCGCTGGCATTAAATTGACAGCCTCCACATTCACATACTCAGATTTGTGCAGAGTGGTCAATTCAACTACATAAAATAAAACCGCAATGACCAGTAAAAACGAGAATACATCATGCGAGGAATAGACTATCTAAGCTTTCCCATGCGATAATTGACTAAGCAACATCCCCAAGTTAGCACAGTACGTTTCCTTCTAGTTCACGCCAAACTCTTTTGCTATCTCGTTTTCTTAGCTTTACTTTCAGTTTTCACAATCATTAACCATGCATTTTCATTCGCCGGTTCTGATTGCTGCCTTTGGGCTGCTCGTTTAGATAAAACAGCAGAATGATTATTGGAATATTGAGAGCAGAGTCAAAGTGAAGATAGAGAATTCACATAGACTGGGGCAGCAAGGATAATGAGTTGATGCACGAACGCCATTATTTACGACACTGTCTCTAATCACCGGTTACCATGATATCTGGGTCCCCATTCATGAAGCCTGAAGGCACTTGTGACCCAGTGTCATACCCACATGCGAAGTCTCAGTTTGACCGCCCCTGACCTTTTTCCGACAGCTTTCAGCCTCGACAAGTATCGTACGACGTCGCAACCTACTTTTTGACATGCGCAGTACACATCCCAATCGCCGTAGTCTACGGAGGTCAACTACTTGTACCAGTGAAAGACCGCGATCGCCTAAAACACTATACCTAACCTCAGCATTGTTTGTCTGGTTTCCCCACCAGACTCGTGCAATGCGGTGTAGACTGTTGGTGTTTCAACACCAACAGTCCATTTTAGTTCTGTTCCGATAATGGTCAAATCTCTGCACTGCGGCCAAATTACTGAAGCAATAAAACGGTAAAATGGGAACAAACAAAATAAAACAAATGGACATTGGTTAGCTCAGAAAGCGAAATGAACTAGCTTTTGACTATAACACAAGCGATTGTTTCAACAATCCTACTACATGAATCTGTGAAGGCCAGAAGTGAAACCAGAATAAAAGAACAAGTGGTGCTGACGACCTCACTGGTACCTATGCGGATTCATATCTGGGTAGCCACGGTTCGAGAGGTTTATAAAATCTCGATGGAGATACCTCCAATTAAAGTAAGCAACCACCGATCAAAACGATCGTATATGTACAGTATGGTAAATATTTCAATGGGAACAGACCATATCAAACGAATCATGATACAATAACGGTTATGAAAAATCACTATTCTTGGACGCGATATGAACAAGTTACCAAAGTACTCAGACGGCTTGACACACTGGTCAGTTAAAACCTGAGGCTAAAGACAGCAGACAGGTAGAAGCCGCGGTTTATTATGAAGCTGTTTACAGAGAGTTGAATTGCCTTTTAGAGGCCATTTACATCAAGTAGCCGCTGGTCAGGCCGTTCAAGCCGAACTGAGAACTCTACTAACGCCACTTTTGTGGTAGATAAAGATGGTTTCCCTGCCTAATATCATGCTTATTACAACGGAATCTCATGTGTTTTACCGCTCCCAGTCCTACAGCTTAGATTTCAGGTTATCCCGCTTGAGCAGCGCGGTCTACCCCTTGTGCTATTTACCGTACAAATAATTAAAAATTAAAATTATCTTGTTCATTCATTAATTGATTATCCCTGCTCCATGTTTTCTCCAGTTTCATCCAACCTTTCTGTATCCCGTCACAATTTTTTTTATTGTTTTGCATTGGCACCATACTTGTTCTCAAGCCGATGAAATATATTATATGTATGACAGTTTTGTAAACAACGGTGTTGATTGTTGCTTTTGTAGCTCGGGTAGTATAACTTAATGGTCAGTCGTTCGCCGAGCTTGGAAATTGCATTCCAATACAATTGCCAAGCTCAACGAACGACTGAACATCATATAAATATATATATATATATATATATATATATAGCGGACAAGCATGTTGCCAACGCCACAACAATAATGACAATAACGATAACGGGATGGGGGTTGGGATACAGAACACAGTAAAAAAAGGTGAAACTGTTAAAATGGAGAGTTGAAAATACATGGCACAATAATTTTTTGTTTCAGTGCATTTTTAAAACTTCTTTGTGTTAGTTTATATTGTTTTGGAAGATAATGGAAGATGCTGGAATCATGTTAAGATTTTAAATAAATCACTGGCCTCGGTGGGATTTGGACCCACACGTCGCTTACGCTTTTCACAACTCAAGCTCTACCGGATGAGCTAGGCCCATATATCACCGGTTAGCGAACACTCATAGTGCTAGCCCTAAGACTAATAATAGAAAAGGGGCAAATAGAGTGTACGTGATGGTACTGTGTAGAAAACAGTGACAGAACAAAAATAAGAACCATTCGGTTCACCACCTTAATTTTTAGCTCAAAACCCACCGACAGCATCTATCTTTTCGTATTTAAAAAACATGCGCAATATACCATATGGAACAATCTGGCTGGTGGGTATCGCTACTAGGGGATACCTCAACCAGTTCATGCCTGTTTGGATTTTAAATCAGTGTTTCCAGCCCATACTTTTGAGACGCCTCCGAAAGCCTCAGTATGGTCTGGGGTGGGTGTCTAGGGTTGCGGCCAGTTACCCTTCCCTTGCACCTCGAGAAATGCTCCCATACGACCAAGCGTCTCAAATAGCCTCTACTGAGGAAGCCCTACCAACTGCCTTCTCGTGGCGGTGCTTTCCCACGGAAATGAGAGGAAGAAAAGCTGACATCTAGAGCTATAACCGGGTTGGTGAACCATTGGCAGTTCACCTAGGGGAGTTGGCTAAAAACTCTGATTCCAAACCAACCAAGAGGCGTACAAACCACACCCACACCTTCTCGGTCGTGGCAGTGGTCACCGATTCAGTTGGGCATTGAGGTGTATTTGGGCGCCGAGGACGTTTGACCCCGTCCAAAGGGTGTATGATCCGATGAACTGGACACCGGCCCTCAATGTATTGCGGTTTACACACACCGCCCCGCTGCCTTGCGGGTCGGGCTTTGCCTAGCCGAAGGCTCCGGTTGTGAGTTCCTCAAGAAAATTCACCTGCCTTGGCCTGGCCAACCTGGCAATACTCAGCCACGTGCAAATCATGGAACGTTTTTCTTTCTATAGGGACTTTTGTACCATGATTTGTTTGACACACAGTTTGGTCTCATAGGTGTGAGGTCAACGTAAAATTTTGAGATAGCTGTTCATGACTACTTAAACCGGCTACAGCTCAGAATATTGTTCTCCCACTCTCATTTGAAAAGCTATGCTACTATGAATAATACGACTGCGGCAACTTGCACCAGATGAGAGCGTTTATCAGGTTAAGAACGAGATCAAGGCTGAACCTAAGAGATACCGTGATTTCTACTTATGCAGATTTATCGCAGAACCAGATTACGCTGCTCGAAGTACTGAGGTTTTTACATTTAAAAATATTTGAATGCAGTAATCTTCGATCGAGTTGTTTTAAAATGCAAAGGGAATAACCTTAGTTTGGTTTGGATTTCATTATCATGAATATTACACACCCCTGCATGATGAGCAGTGAAGTAAACGTCATGTTCACGAGGACCTACTGTTTACTTGTGCCAATCAGCAACTTAATTCCTGGGACTTCAGTAGACAAGCGACATAAGACCCTTAATAGGACAGGCATGGCATTGATCCAGGCGACAGAAAACCTGCCTACGACCAAAGTCGGACGTCAGGGTTCGAACGTGGAACCATGTGTGCCAGAGCACGTCAGAAAGTGACCGGAACAGATGGACACCAAGCATTAAATGGAGAATCTAAGTTTCAGATAGCAACTGGGTAAATGTCTCCCAAAAAATCAAACACCTTTTCCCATCTACCACTCGGTAACTCTGGTAGATGCTACCATACTGCACTTTCCTGTCTTAGTTTTAGTGTGAATGGACACCAAGGATTGGTATTCGTGTATCCACAACGGCACTCAGCTCGTTATGCATGCAGTATAAACCACTCCGAAGTTGAGTGCTTAACGAAAAGTTTGATGACCTGAGGTCAAGCCTTTTGTTTTTGATTGAAAGCCAAGCACATTCGTTTATTTATTGATCGGTATTTTCCATAAACCACTTGGAATCCTGATGTGGCACACTACATACATCAATGATGCAGATAAATTCCACGTATAAAAATCCGTGCCGTGATTTATCACCATTCCCGTTGGAATCAACCAGTGACAAAATTTAGTAAAACTACTGAATTTACTAGTTTTGAAAACTAAGGTCACGCTGACGGGTTATAATAGTGTGGTCAACACTGGAACTAAGTAGAAGGCGACAACAAACTTTTTTTCATTCAAGAGCAGTTAATGTTTAGGAGTAACACTAAAAATGTAACTGAGTACTGGTACATCCATAAATAAGCTAGTTTTGGTGTATCCTGCTCCAACTGGTAAATTTACAGATCTCAATCTCATTGTTACAAAACGAATAGTCCGATTAAACTTCTAAACGAAAATTTCGGCAAAAAAGTGAACGGGTAATCTTTGGATTGTTTTCATACAATTTATTTTTGGGCCCAAAAATTAGAGCGAAGTAAGATTGTCCTGAAGCACTTCAAGATGGTGTGAATACACAAGACTTGAGTCTTGTTTTACATCGCACTGATGAACCATGAAGTGGTATCTCAACCATTTCGAAACAACTCCGTTGGAACGAGTAATAGAATTTCCGATCTCTGATATGAAAATCAAAAGATTACATCCATCCTCTTTAAAAGACAGCTGTCTGGTGTGTACGTACGTACGTGACGGTGAATGTACATTATATTTTCAGTGCACGTACCCCGAAAGAAGTCCGTCGCAATAAAAAAACATGGAGTGCTAAAAATATATGGGGAAATACTTTCCCGAACGGTATGTGGGGTATTATAAAACTCACCCGTCAACAGCGGCTGCACAACACCACAGTGGGCCATCACGACGAGTTCGTAGGACCGAGCTACCTTGAAGAGGGAGTAACCTTCAGCTCTCAATCAAATAATAAAATGGAAAATTCAAACAATTCAGGTCAGGTCAGTTCAGTTCAGTTCAGTTCAGTTTGCACAGGACGATGTG